TGATTTGGACTTTCTCCAATTCCAGCCTCAAGCCTTCAGTGACTTGTGTTAGTTCTTGGTTTTGATTTCCTTGGCCTTCAGTAGCCTGGGTTTCTCTTGCAACAGCTACAGGTGCGGCAATCGAAGTCTCTGGCGTATTCTGGATGTCTTCAGTGACCTCCTTATTGACTTCGACCATCACCCAGTTTTCAGCTTCAGTACCCTTCTCTCCTGTTAGGGCGTCGCTTTGATCAGTTTCCACCATGTTGACCTCTCCAATGCATGCAGGCTAGGAGTAGTTGGTGTCTGCGACGTCCAAGGGATCTTCGTCCACTTTCATCTTCACCTTATCAGCAAACTTTAGTCTGCCATCTTTGATCGCGTTTTGAATTAGGTCCCTGAAAAGAAAACATTGTGAGGTTTTGTGGCCTAGGAAACTATGATATTTGCAAAATCCTCTCTTCTTTCTCTGATCCAAAGGAGGTATTTTGACATTTGATGGCACAATTAGTTGGCCATCTTTGACAAGTAAGTCAAAAATCTCGTCACATTTAGTGACATCGAAGGTATAAACCTTCTTTGGAAATTTGTCACTTTTTTCATTTTCAACAATGTCTTTCCCTTTTGTGGGAACTAACAATTTACAGGAATAAGGCGGGGCCTGTTTTAATTCAGCGAGGTCGATTTCGACCTCTTCGAATTCGAATTCAGGATATTCTTCTGCTTCCTCAGTCCCAACATAGGAAATCCTTTCTTTCTTGCTATTCTTAAAGACTCTGGCTTTTTCGGCCTTTAGTCTTTCGACCTGTCGAACCCTATCGGCTAACTGAGCCATATCCCTCAAATATTGAGTGTCTAGTTTCTTTCGAATAGAATAATCCAAGCCACCAGCGGCCATTTCGACTAACTCATGTTTAGGCACTACTGTGTAACATCTGGATTTCAAAAGCCTAAATCTATTCAGATAATCATCTATGGGTTCGGTGAACTTTTTCTTAACACTGGCCAATTCCTTCAAACTTATTTTCGACTGTCCCATGTAAAATTGTTCATGGAATAATCTCTCTAAGAGAGCCCAAGTGTCAATGGACCCAGGAGGCAAAGTGGTAAACCATGTGAAGGCGTTTTTAGTCAAGGAACTTGGGAAGTATTTGATCCTGAGATCTTCATTATTGGCTATATCTCCCGCTTCGGTTAGATATCTCGCTATGTGTTCGACTGTTGACTCATTGGTATCCCCAGCGAACTTTGTAAATTTAGGGACTTTATATCCCCTTGGTAAATCAGTATGCATTATGCAATCCAATATAGGAGAAGCATAATTTGGCCTTATCATTCTTGTGTTGAGGCCATTCTGGGCCATGACTCTCTCTATCATGGTGGTTAGGTTGTTTTCTGCCAAGATGTCATCGTTTCGAATTCTATGAACGACAGCATCGGCATCTTGATTTCGACCAACCAAGACAACTCCCCTAGGTTGTTCTTCTCGAAACTCTGGGGCTTCTAGCCTTTCGACCCTTGCCCCTGGTTCCATAATTTCTCTTTGTGGGCCCGAGATTATTGGGGCTTCTAACCTTGGTGCCCTGGCCCCTAAGTTAACTTCTTCTCTGGGTGGTCTATAAATTGGGTCGTTAGCAATTTGTTCTATAACAGGCATGTTTGCTCGAAATCCCGCCTGATTCTGCCTACGCCTTTCTGGGGGAGCAAAGAAATCTGCTATACGACTCATATTGTCAGCATTTTCTCTGTTTGTCACAGTCACATTTTGCACTATTGGGGCAAATATCTCCTGCATGGTTTGTGCTAACACCCCTATCATATTATGGTTACTGTCATCCATCAATTGCCTAAAAGCCAACTGGTTGTCTGTGGTTAAGATAGGCATTATGCTATAACCCACTGACCCTTGGTTATTTGTCATAAACTGATTCGCCCCAGACCCAGACCCTAGTTGTGGGGATGAATTCGATGTGGAATTGTGTAAACCTGCCATAAAAGATGTTGGCATTCCATAAGAGGAATTTCTGGTTCTATTCCCATCGAAACCGGGTGGTCTAGTTAATGGAGTGGCGAAATGGGATTGTGTCCCTGATGGTGGAACGAATCCCCCAGGGTAACCAATGGTTCCAGTATTTCCTAAGATCGAACTATTAGTTGATATGCCACTTACTCCATTGGTGGCTATGTTACTGGTTGAAGATGCAACAGACTGTGCATTCGAAGGGATTACATTAGATGTTCCGATCGAAGTGGACGCATTAGTGCCTGTTGTATGTGGGCCATTTTGGTCCCCTTGTTGATTGTCAGAATTAGACATTTTGTCCAAACGTTTTCTTCTGGATGAAGGTTGGTTGCTGTTGGTTATTTTACCACTTCTCAGGTTCATAAAACAGCAAACTTCTTAGGTTCCAACGTTTTTATAATGGTTATGTCTCAACAATCTTTATTTCTAATATCCAATTATTCGTCCCACCGGGTGTGCCAATTTGTTTCTAGTGATTTCTGGTAAACAACCGCTAGTCTTCCAAACTGTCGAATAATCTTTCTGACTGTTATTCAATTCCTCTGGTAACTCACAGGATCGACTAGATTGATCCTAGGATTCCTTGGACATTAAGGTTACTCTCACGATCGAACAGATATTCATGGTTGATATTTGAGTGTTGTATATGCGTTTGGCTTATTTCGATTTCTCTCTCAAAAAGTCTAAAGATGTAGTCAAAATGTGCGTGTACGAAACTAAGTTGCATGAATAAATGTTAATTGTAAAGACATGTAAAATTTCATAAAAGTCAAGTAAATGGTTTCGAATTATAAAACAGTTAATGTAAATGATTTCTGGAACGTAAAAGGTTTGAAATATGAAGAAAGCGTTTAATGCAAGAAATATGTAAATGACTTTAAGTAAAAATATGCGTTCGAAGGATAAGACTTGAAGGTAAAGGTATGGAAAATATGACAGTTTTCTGAGATGTAAAGTGCTTGAAATGTGAAGAAAGCATTAAAATGTAAAACTTTGAAGAAGAGATTTCGAAGTGAAAAGACTGTAAATGAGAAAACTTGTAAATGTTATTTGACAAAAAGATAAAGGAAAGTGCTGGAAATGGTAAAAGGTTTTCATTAAATCAGAAATACATGGTGCTACCATACGTACATTTCTCTTGCATTCGTTTCCCTTGCCATGTGGTAGTTTGAATGTTACTGAGTATTTAGTACAATAGATATGACACACGAAATCCTAATACTAAGACTTCTATTTATACTAATTCGACCATAACGGTCTTGCTATAGGATTATGCCACGTTCAGAACATGCAGAACAATGCCTCTTTCTTCTTTCCACGTGTCCCCAAATGCTCCAGCACATAACTTTCAAACTTCGAATGTCCCGCTTCCATTTGAATTTCAAATGCTTTGGTACTTCTCCGTTTCAAACGCACTTCCCAGACACAGCCTTATTGTTATTTCGAGACTTCTTTAGATATGTTCCCATAATTGCCACTCGAAGCTCCAAGCTTTGACATGCTTATTCGAAACACTGCTTCTGCTACTTCGAAACATGACGCTTTACCTCATTTCGATCGAAACGTTTAATTCATTTCACTACGCCAAAAACTGCTTTTGCCAGCGCCTCTACTAAAGCGCTTATTGAAAAAGCGCTGCCATAGCCTTCACAAAAAACAAAATTAAAAAAAAGGGAAACCTACGAAGGCGCTTTGTTAAAAGCGCTGGCATAGGTGGGGGATACGAAAGCGCTTATTGAAAAAGCGCTGCCATAGCCTTCACAAAAAACAAAATTAAAAAAAAGGGAAACCTACGAAGGCGCTTTTTTAAAAGCGCTGGCATAGGTGGGGGATACGAAAGCGCTTATTGAAAAAGCGCTGCCATAGCCTTCACAAAAAACAAAATTAAAAAAAAGGGAAACCTACGAAGGCGCTTTTTTAAAAGCGCTGGCATAGGTGGGGGATACGAAATCGCTTATTGAAAAAGCGCTGCCATAGCCTTCACAAAAAACAAAATTAAAAAAAAGGGAAACCTACGAAGGCGCTTTTTTAAAAGCGCTGGCATAGGTGGGGGATACGAAAGCGCTTTTTACATTAAAAGCGCTGTGGTAGGTCAAATAAAAATATTAATAAAAACGAAATAATAGGGTTATGAAGGCGCTTTTTAAAAAGCGCTGTGGAAGATTGGCCTTTGAAAGCGCTTTCAAAAGCGCTGGCATAGGGTCTGATTATAATCCAAAGCCCGGTTCAATTATTTTGACATGCCCATTATCAGAAAAAAGCGCTGAACTCAAGCTGGCGGAGGTAGTTGTCGTTGTCGGTCTCCAGAAACCGTTGAACTCCGAGAGCGCATCACTGTTCAAGCATCCTCACTCTCTCACGTTTTCTCTCTTTCGATCTCAACCTTCATTTTCGTTTTCTTCTTCCAATCAAGTAAGTTCATCAAATTCTTCTCTCTTCGTATATTATTTACGCTTTTGTGACAGTTTCAACCTTCGCATTGCTCTAATAATCGAACCCCGTTTTTAGGTTCTTTTAGAAGTTTTGATTTTTGGGGATTTTGGGGAATGTGCATTTCTCTGTTGTTTATGTGTTGAAAACTATAAGATGCATTTTTGTACCTAATTGTGTTGCCTTTAAGGTGTTTGATAATTGTCCTGAGTGGTGTTATGTGAATTTTTGTCTGAGTAGACTGAACTTTGAGTAGACTGGAATAGAACACAGATCTAGAAAAGATATGGTCTTTTATTTGGTCTGCTTCATTTTTTGTCATTTTCTTGTTCTTCATCCATTCATTTTCATGCCCTTTAATATATACTCATATTCATATTCTTCCTGGAATTTCCTTACCTAATGTAAAATCTAAATCCTGCAAAAAAAATGATATTCTCATTTAAAAAACCAAGCTTTATTAAATTAAATTATATAAATATAATAAGATGAAACATAAGAGACATGATTTGAGAGCTTACAAACATGTTGGTAGAATTGTAGAACATGACATGCACCACTATGAATTTTAAATTAATGAAAATGAACATAAGTTGTTGTTGAATCCATGTGAATTAAGAAACTTTTGTCGTTGATCTTCTACCTCCCAAAAATGGCTACCATCCTGAAAATGAAGTTTTTTCATCACAAAACTAATTATTAAAAGACATTTTTAAGACCATTTTTGTTGTTTATGTTTTTGTACCTCAGAGACGACGTTTGATCTCTGTCTTTGAAGAAAAACGGAAGCTGAAGTATCCAAAAGGTGGTTGTAGTCATTAGTAGTTTGGAAAATGTTGGTCGGAGTCATGGTGGTTGTATCAGCAAAAGCTGTGCCTTGTTTGGGACTGTTACAATGTGACACTGATGATGATAGTGGTGATGGTGATGCTAAGTTATTTAATTTCTGATATAATTCAAAATATAACAAAGTTAGTTACTTTCATTATTAATAATTAATATATATTATGAGCCAATTTATTACTAAACGTAAGTTAATTAATTTTGTTCCTCACCTCTGGTCTAACCATGAAAGTGTCTAGATCTGTTGCCATGTCATAGAACATAGGATTCACTGAAGTAAGTTTCATTGACAAAAACTGCAAAAATAAATAAATAAATAAATAAGCATCAACAAAACCCTATATATAATTAGTTTTTATAGACATAATATAAGAGATTAGTTCGAGGTTATTAGTGTTACCTCTACTTGATTTTGTAAAGACTGAACATATTAGTGTTACCTTTCCTTTGCACTCTACTTTTGTATCTTTTCTGTTGTTCTGGTGTATATGTTGAAATATAATTTTTGTATTACTAATAGAAATATCAAGTAAAATATATGTGTAGTTCTAAAGTTTTAATTTTTACATAAGTGAAATTAAAAAGACCCGGGAATTTATTATGTATATAAAAATTGAAAGCTCCATTGTCACTCTCATTTATCCTGCATTTATGATTTGTTTTTCTTCTCTCTCTGAACCTTAGTATGAATTTTGATTGAATCACAGGGAGAAAGAATTAGCTGCTGTTAAGATAAATGCAGCAGATGTTGATATAATTGCAAACGAACTAGAGGTAACTTCTTCAACATGTACAGAAATCTATCTAGTAAGCTTACATTCCAATTAATTAACATACTTTTCTTATACAATAGTTGGACAAAAAGGTGGCTGAAAGAACCTTGCGTTGCTGCCATTCGTCATTTGCTTCACTAGTATGGTGGAAACAAATAAGGGAATGTGATCTATATTGTCAATGAAAATGTTTTGTTTTTAGTTACTCCTAAGTTTAACATGTTGTTTACATTCAAATCATGCAGCGGATAGTTCAACGATTTAATATCGATTGTGGTAGGAAAAAGCTGTGAAACTTTCTCCGATTGAAGAAATTCGAACTGTCCTTGATCGTAGTGTATGCGGGACGCTCTCAACATTTTCAAAGGTTTCTATCCTATTCTTGAACTGACTTGAATAACTGATTGTTTTTACTTTTATTTTCCGGCTCAATGTGAATTTCTAATGATTATAGTTGAGTGGAATTCATGAGCTGCGGTTGTGTTTTTGTTTATATCCGACTTCACTAGTTAGTAATTAGTTATGAGTTGTTTAGCACATGCTTAAGGTGAGGCAAGAATAACTATGAATTTGATTACCTAATATGTTGAATTTCTTTACAGGTAATTAATTATTATTTTGCTATAGTTGCGTGACTAATTAGTTGCTATAGTCAAACCATGGATAAAAAATGGATGACTGCCAATCGATTGTCGAAAGAGTATGAGGATGGGGTATCAGAATTCGTTAAGTTTGCCGTTGCGCACGCCAGAGAACCCAATGGAATGATATGTCCTTGCTTGAGATGCTGTTATGGGAGACGGGTTGACGCGGTTCAGTTGGAATCGCATTTACTGATGCATGGAATTGATAGAAGTTATGCATGTTGGAATTTGCATGGTGAGAAAAGTAGCGGGAATGTTGAATCGAGTTATAATACGACGTATGCTTCAAATGAGGATTTCGCAGACGCATACGATTATGATCGAGTCGAAGAGATTGCAGAAGCGCTTGAAGAAGATCTTGAGGATTGTCCCAAAATGTTCGAGAGGTTGGTAAGCGATGCAGAGAAACCGTTGTATGATGGTTGTACAAAATTCACAAGATTGTCTGCGGTGTTAAAGTTGTACAACTTAAAGGCGGACAACGGATGGTCAGATAAAAGTTTCACACAGTTATTAGCCCTCGTGAAAGAAATGCTACCAGAGGATAATGTTCTTCCCAATCGAACGTATGAGGCCAAAAAGATGTTGTCCTCTATTGGAATGAGCTATGAAAAGATACATGCATGTCCAAAAGATTGCGTTTTATTTCGAAACGAGTACGCAGTGTTAAATGAGTGTCCTAAATGCGGTGCCCCTCGATATAAGGAAAAGTTGTCTCCGGAAAAGGTGTTATGGTATTTTCCTATAATTCCGAGATTTAGGCGCATGTATCGTAGTGAGACCGATTCAAGACACTTGACTTGGCATGCAGATGAAAGAATTATTGATGGGAAGTTGCGACATCCGGCAGACTCACCACAGTGGACGAAAGTTGATATTGATTATCCTGAATTTGGAAAAGAAGCAAGAAATCTTCGCTTGTCGTTGTCTACTGATGGAATGAACCCGCATGGTATTCAAAGTATCTCGCATAGCACCTGGCCTGTGATTCTTATGATATATAACCTACCTCCGTGGCTATGTATGAAGCGTAAGTACATGATGCTATCTATGTTAATTTCTGGGCCCAAACAACCAGGGAATGACATAGACGTGTACTTGGCACCCTTAGTCGAAGATTTGAAGTTTTTGTGGGAGACCGGTGTGGAGGTTTACGATGGGTATAGGAAAGAAAGTTTCAACTTGAGGGCGATGTTGTTTGGAACAATTAATGATTTTCCGGCGTACGGAAATCTATCAGGGTACAACATTAAGGGTCAAAAAGCGTGTCCTGTTTGTGAAGATGAAACCGATACGATGCGATTGAACTTTTGTCAGAAGAATGTTTTTCTCGGTCATCGTAGATTCTTAAATTCTAATCATCACTATCGTGGGTGGAGAAAGGCATTCAATGGAGAGGCAGAACACGGTAGAGCTCCACATATGTTGACAGGTGATCAGATTTTTGAAAAGGTGAAAGATGTGAGTACTGAGTTTGGCAAGCCTTTTGCACATAGACTTGTCACGAGTGGGTGGAAGAAGAGGTCGATTTTTTTTGAACTTCCATATTGGAAGTCGTTGTACGTAAGACATTTCCTCGATGTTATGCATATTGAAAAAAATGTATTTGATAGTGTTATTGGTACGTTACTCAATATACAAGGAAAGTCTAAGGATGGCATTAACATAAGGAAGGACATGTTAAACATGGGAATTAGAACTGAATTGGCACCCGTGACGAAAGGAAGACGCACATATCTACCACCTGCTGTTTACACTCTATCTAGAAAGGAGAAGAAAATATTGTGTAAGTTCCTCAGTGAAGTTAAAGTTCCAGAAGGCTACTCATCAGATATTAGAAGACTTGTGTCAATGAAAGACCTAAAGTTAAAGAGTTTAAAGACTCATGATTGCCATGTTATAATGGAACATTTTCTACCAATAGGTATACGTTCTATTCTGCCAGAAAAAGTAAGGAGTGCAATAACTAAGTTGTGTTTTTTCTTCAAGTCAATTTGCAGCAAGGTGATCGATCCTGCGATCTTACCAACATTGCAAAAAGAGGTGGTTGTTACTTTATGTGAGCTTGAAATGTATTTTCCTCCCTCGTTTTTTGACATAATGGTTCATCTAGTCGTTCATCTTGTCAAAGAGACACAGTTGTGCGGACCAGCTTATATGAGATGGATGTACCCTGCTGAACGTTATATGAAAATTTTAAAAGGGTACGTGAAAAACCGAAGTCGACCGGAGGGTTGTATTGCGGAACGATACATTGTTGAAGAAGCGGTTGAGTTTTGCACTGAATATCTGTCAAATGTTCAATCAATTGGACTCCCCAAATCTCATATTGTCGAGAAAAAAGAAGGAAAAAGACTAATTGGAAATAAAGTTGTGACAGTGTCAATGGTCGAACGGGATCAGGTGCATTTGTATGTTCTGCACAATGAGATTGAGGTTGAGCCGTATGCTGAAATGCACAAGGGTGTTCTTCGAGGTTTAAATCTGAATAGAAATGAGAATTGGATAGTACGAGAGCAAAATCGAAGTTTCATACCGTGGTTTAAGGAACAAATTTATTCAAAGTATCGTTCGGATCCTGCTTCAGTAACAGAAAGGTTGAGATGTTTAGCATATGGTCCAAGTATGATTGTGTTTTCTTATAGCGCATACGCAATTAATGGATACACATTTTATACCAAAGAACAGGATGATAAAAGTACTATGCAGAATAGTGGTGTTACCTTGGTAGCTGAAGCGATGCACATATCAAGTGCGAATGACTTAAACCCGAAATTTGCAAATCTGTCATATTTTGGGGTTATCGAGCGCATTTTGTTGTTTGATTACGGGAAGTTTCAGATTCCTGTATTTGATTGCAAGTGGGTTGAAAATAATAATGGCGTACGAATGGATAAGTCAGGATTTTTGCAAGTGGATCTCAATAGGGTGGGGTACAAAGATGAACCTTTTATTCTAGCCTCTCAGGCTAAACAAGTGTTCTATGTCAATGATCCGACAAGTACGAAATGGTCTATAGTGCTTTTGTCTAACAAAGTAATTGATGAAAACATTGGAGATCAAGGTGATATTGGCGTTGGCATTGAATCTTGTACAAGAAACGATCAAAATGAGAATGAACCTTGTACTAGAGATGATCATAATGAGGGTATTTGGATCAATCCAACCATCCGAGTTGTTAACAGAAGCGTAAAATATATTGCTACCAAGAAAAGAAAGAGACGTTAGTGAAAAAGGTATTATTATAATTATAGCCTAATATTGTAAGTAATATGTGAATAATGTTTTGAATTTTTGGCATATCTTTTGAACCGTTTTGAATTTTTGCGAATGTGACTAGTGTTTATTTAGTAGAACAATGTTTCCGGAGCTGATGGTGAGGTTTATTTCTTGCAAGTTTGGTTTTTTAGCATTTTATTCAATTTTGAGTTCCTTTAGTGCTATTCATATCTTTTTCGACTATCCATTTTCATGTAGTGTACTAATGTGCTTGTTTGACTTTTGTTACAGGTCTAATGGCTAGCAATGAAGAAAACCCGCAAGGAAACCAACAAGAAAACCCACCAGGAAACCAACAAGATCATGAAAACTCACAAGAAACAAATCATGCAGCGGATGATACTTCAGCAAATGATGTTGCACGAGGCATCACCATAATGCGCGAAATCATTCGTGCTAGAGATAAGGGAGTGAAATATAATGTAGATTGGAATCATTCAAATCAAGTAGTTGGGGTTAATGCTTCAAAATTCACAAGCTACGTTGGTACACTTGTTCGTATGCATGTGCCAATCTCCATATCTAGATGGAATGCGAAACAATGTGAAGCATTGAAGCAAGGAAAAGAAATGTTTTGGGAAGATGTTAAGG